CCATCCCATCCCATCCCATCCCATCCCATCCCATCCCATCCCATCCCCATTCCATCCCCATTTTACCCCATCCCACCCCATGCCATCCCCAACCGACTCAATTCCATCCCATCCCACCTGTCCCATCCCACATAACCCTGTCCCATCCTGTCCCCCTGCAGGTCTGTCAGAGGATGAGGACCTCCAGCTGATGTTGCAGGGCTCCCTGCTGCTCAAGGTGACCCCACGGCGGGCGAAGGAGCGGCGGTACCGCCTGCAGGAGGATGGGGTCACCGTGGTGTCTGAGCGGCGCTTCGGCCGCATGGCCTCCAAACACAGCTGTGAGTGCTGGCACTGGGGCTGGGGGCACTGGTGTGGGTTTGGCATGGCCCCCAGTGTGGCCGGGTGGGCTAATCCTAACCCTAACCCAGACCCCATATGGGACCCCGACTCCAACCTTAGACCCCTCTTGGTGATGCCCTATGGTCCCCATCTGAAAACAGGCTTTGCCCCCCAGCCGTGGACCAGTGCCTCCCAGTGCATCCCGTGGCATTCTATTTTATTCCATTGCCTTCCTGCACCCTGTGTATCCTATTGCCTCCCAGTGCATCCCAGTGTACCCCCTTGCATCCTGGTACATCTCAGTGCCTTCCACTGCATCCAGTGCATTCCATCACCTCTCCGTGCATCCAGTACCTCCCATGGCCTTCCAGTGCCTCCCAGCATATCCCATTGCATCCCAGAGTAACCCACTGCATCCCAGAGCCTCCCAGCATATCCCATTGCATCCTGTTCTATCCCATTGCATCCCATTGCATCCCAGAGCCTCCCAGTGTATCCCATTGCATCCCAATACCTTCAGTGCACCTCACTGTATCCCATTGGATCCCATTGCCTCCCAGGGTATCCCATTGCATTCCTGTGTATCCCAGTGCTTCCCTGCGTGTGTCCCATTACAGGACAGAGCCTCCCATTGCATCCTGTTGGATCCCATTGCATCCCAGTTCCTCCCAATGCATCCCATTGTATCCCCATGACTCCCATTGCATCCCCTTGCATTCCATTGCATCCCAGTGCCTCCAAGCATATCCCATTGGATCCCATTGCCTCCCATTGCATCTCATTGCATCCCCATGACTCCCAGTGGTTCCAATTGCATCCCATTGCATCCCAGTGCATATCATTGTGTCCCAATGTATCCCAGTCTATACCATTGCATCCTAGTACATCCCAGTATATCCCACTGCATCCCACTGCATCCCAGTGCCTTCAATGTATCCCACTGCATCCCAGTTCCTTCTATTGCATCCTACTGCATCCCAGTGCCTCTCAGTATATCCCATTGCATCCCAGTGCATCCCATTCTTTTCCATTGCATCCCAGTGCATCCCATTACATCCTATTGCATCCCAGTACCTCCGAACATATCTGATTGCATCCCAGTGCCTCCCTGTCTATCTCATTCTATCCCATTGCATCCCAGTGCCTTCCAGTGGATCCCAAAGGATCCCAGCACCTCCCAGTGTATCCCATTGCATCCCAGCATAACCCGTTGCATCCCATTGTGTCTCTTTTCCTCCCATTACATCTCAGTGCATCCCATTGCCTCCCACTGTATCCCATTGCATCACAATGCCTCCCTATATACCTCATTGCATCCCAGCTCCTGCCATTGCATCCCAGTACTTTCCAGTGCCTTCCAGTGCCTCTCAGGGTATCCCATTGCCTCCCGTTTCCTCTCTGTCTTGCCTGGGATTCTCGTCTTCGGCGCAGCCCAAGGGGACATTGGTTGGCTCTGGCGTCCCCGCGTGGTGCTCATTGGAACCATCCCTCTGTGTCCCCGCAGTCTCCGTTGCACACATTGTGTCAGTGCACCGGGGGCACCATTCGGAGGGGCTGCGCCGGTATGGCTGTGCCATCCCTGAGTGGAACTGCTTCACCATCGCCTTCGAGGGCGGGCGCAGGAACCTGGACCTGGGGGCACGGGATGAGGACGTGGCACTGCGCTGGGTGCGGGGGCTCCGCACGCTGCGGGGGAGGCTGCGGGGCATGAGCCAGCGGGAGAGGCTCGAGCAGTATCCTATGGGGTCAGCGGGGTCCTGGGAACAGCCTGGGGACATCTTGGAGACATCTAGGGACATCTCGTGGACAGCCTGGGGACATCGTGGGGACATTGTAGGGACAGCCTGAGGACAGCTTGGCAACATCTCGCGGGGATGTGTTGGGGCAGCCTGGGGACACCTTGGAGACATCCAGGGGCATCTCATGGACAGCCTGGAGACGTCGTGGGGACGTGTTGGGGATAGCTTGAGGACAGTTTGGGACACTGTGGGGATAATTTGGGCACAGCCTGAGGAACATCTTGGTGACATCTCATGGACAGCCTGGGGACGGTCTGGGGACATGCTGGGAACATTGGTGGACATCTTGGGGACAGCCTGGGTGTATCTTGGGGACCTCCTGAGGACAGCTTGGGACGGCTTGGGGGCAGTCTGGGGATATCTTGGAAATGTGTTGGGGACAGCTTGGGGACAGTTTAAGGACATCTTGAGGAAAGCTTGGGGCAGTCTTGGGGTATCTTGGGGATATGCTGGGGACAACTTGGGGACAGTTTGGGTGCTTTCCTTAACACAGCGTAGCTGGATCCATGGCATGCTGCAGCGTGCCGATAAGGACAAGGACAACAGGATGTGCTTCCAGGAGGTGCAGATCATGCTGCGCATGGCCAACATCCACATGGACAATGCCTACGCCCACCAGCTCTTCAAGGTACTCTCTGTCACCTGACGTCCCTGTCTGTCACCAACCAGCCTAATCCAGAGGGTAGAGGGCTGGGGACGATGACAGAGGGGACATGACCCACACAGCTCCATAACCCAGGGGATGGGGGACTGGGGACAATGACAGAAGGACATGACTCACACAGACTCAAGGTGACCCACGAGGCCCCAAGATCCCCCTGTTGGGATGGGGATGAAGAATCGCTGGGTGTCACCATGCCCCATCCATGGTGGTCAAGGCAGTGAAGAGGTGGAAGACACCCAATGGGACTTGCACATTCCATGGGTGCCCCTGGGTAGCTGAGATTCCCAAACACATCCCAGGCCAGGTGGGTCCTTTGGGGTTAGAGTCAATGGCTGCCGTCCCATAGGAATGTGACCACTCCGGTGATGGGCGGTTGGAGGACCGGGAGCTGGAGGACTTCTGCCGGCGGCTGCTGCGGCGCCCGGAGCTGGAGGAGCTCTTTGGGCACTATTCGGGTGAGGACTGCGTGTTGTCGGCCGAGGAGCTGCGGGATTTCCTGCAGGACCAGGGCGAGGAGGGCACCCTACACCAGGCCTGTGCCATCATCTGTGCCCATGAGCTCAACGAGAAGGGTAGGGATGGGGACGTCCCCGCTGGAGGGTGGGTGGCTGAAGGGCAGAACGGGTGCCATGGGGATGTGGGCTTGAGGTTCTGCAGGGCTGGACGGAGTGTCCCTTTGTCCTGTTGTCCCCCTCACCCTTCCACGGAGGTGGCCTTGCCCTATTTTGGTCATGGACATGAAGGTTGGGATGGACACCAAGGGATCTCCCTGTGCCCTATTGCCATCCCAAGGGTGAATGTGGCACTGCCACGGGACAGCAGGTTGGGAGCAGTCACCCCCATGTCCCTGTAACCAGCAGGATGCAGGAAATACACCAAGGGACTTCCATGTGCCTTGTGTGCCATAGTGCCAACCCACAGGTGAATATGCCAGGAGACAGCAGGAGGAGATGGGACACCAAGGGGACATTTGTGTCTTAGTGACCTATTAAGTGGGGAACGTTGGGGTGGGGACAGAAGACCTCCACCTCTTGTGGGTACCACCATGCCGTGTTCATGGTGGTCAAGGCAGTGAAGGGATGGAAGACATCCAATGAATGGGACTTGCATGTCATCTGGGTGCCACGGTGTCTGGGGCGAGCATGGCACTGCCAGGGGACATCCATGTGGGGACAACCCATGAGGTGCCACCTTTGCCACCTCCCCCAGCCCGGCAGCAGGGCCTGATGACACTGGATGGCTTCACGATGTACCTCCTGTCAGCTGCTGGTGACATCCTCAACCAGGAGCACACGCAGGTACACCAGGACATGAGCCAGCCCTTGTGCCACTACTTCATCTCCTCATCCCATAACACCTACCTGACCCGCAACCAGATTGGAGGCACCAGCAGCACTGAAGCCTATGCCAGGTGGGTGCCGTGGGGTGGCCCGGGTGACACTAGTACTGATCCAGTGGTGGTGGACTGGGTGACGTGGGGACTCACTGGATGATGTGAGTGACATGAGGTGACGGGGGGACTCATCCTGCGGTGCAGGGCACTGATGATGGGATGCCGTTGCGTGGAGCTGGACTGCTGGGAGGGTCCCGATGGGGAGCCCATCGTCTGCCATGGCCATATGTTCACCTCCAAGATCCTCTTCCGTGATGTCATCGAGGCTATCCGCGATTACGCCTTCAAGGTAAGGCTGGCGCCATCAGCCCTGGGTTGGGCACTGGGTGCTGGTGCTCAGTGCTGCCCACTCCCATCCCCACCTCCCAGCGATCGCCATACCCCGTCATCCTCTCGCTGGAGAACCACTGCGGGGTGCAGCAGCAGGCCACCATGGCGCGGCACATGAAGGCCATCCTTGGGGACATGCTGCTGACACAGCCCCTGGAAGGACAGGACCCCAGTGTCCTCCCGTCCCCAGAGGTAAGGCCATCTGTTGTGGTGTCCCCATGTCCCCAAGCACCTGAGCTTGGCCCTTCGTCCCGCAGCAGCTGAAGGGGAAAGTCCTGGTGAAGGGCAAAAAGCTGCCAGAGCTGCAGAGTGAGACCTGCAGTGTCACCTCCATCCTGGATGAAGAGGAGGAAGAGGAGACAGAGGAAGAGGACAGGCTGCAGGTTGTCAATTTTTTGGGGTCTCCATCACCTTGGGGTCTCTATCATCTTAGGCTGTCCATGCTTTGGACTAACATCTTGGGATGTCCATTGCTTTGGGTTGTCCTTTGCTTTGGGGTATTTGACATGTTGGGATGTCCATTGCTTTGAATTGTCCTTTGCTTTGGGGTATCTCACATGTTGGGATGTCCATTGCTTTGGGTTGTCCTTTGCTTTGGGGTATTTGACATGTTGGGATGTCCATTGCTTTGGGTTGTCCTTTGCTTTGGGG